GCATGCGACAAAAAGTGGTAGAAAACGAGTAATACGAAGCATATGATACAGTATTGTCACTTGCCCGCTTCAACAACTGGTGTAGAACGAGTTTGGCACCGCGCCAAACGCAGCCGCACTGACACGCCCAACCGTCCGCAGCGAACTACACTACCTTCACTTATGAAAAACAATTGATATGAAACATTGCTCCATGGATATATGAATACATACATACAGCAGTATCTGTCAAAGCGGTCGTTGGCACAATGCCAATAAGGAAACCCTGCAAAAATGCCCAACGCCGCGCAGAACAAAGGTTTTTTCGCGAAGTCTTGGCCGTTTGACTTCGCTCTTCTGTCATTTTTCCACAACATAGCACCCCTGCCAGTATTTGTCAGCAAGTACTAGATTATCATGACTTATGCCTTTAGAGCCCTTTACTGCGCTCTCCTCTCTGGGGCAAATTTCGCTATGTCCGAGAAAAAAGAATTGGTAGTTGTATAGTGTAGTTCGCTGCGGACGGTTGGGCGTGTCAGGCGGGATGAGTTTGGCGCGGTGCCAAACCCGTTCTCCACAGTTGTTAAAGCGAGCAAATGATATGACTGTATCATATCGTTCGTATTACTCGTTTTCTACCGCTTCAACAAGAAGGCAGAGAACGGCTTTGACGGGGTGACACACTCATACTGCCTGACATACCCAACCATCCGCAGCGAACTAGAGTATACTTGGTAACGGTGCAAGTACATTCGTCATTTGGGGACGTACGAAAATGAGAGCGAAAGTTAGTGATGCCCAACTGCCGTTTTGGGATTCCACGGGCGCTATTTTCTAGGAGTAGTACGTGCGTTCGATATCAAAATCTGCAAAGAACACACAGAGCAGAGAGCTAGAAGAAACTAGGAGAGGGCACAGCGTGTCTGGTTATGGCTAAATGTGTAGCGCGGCAGTGCGGGTGGATTCCAAAGCAGAATTTCCATTACCATCCAACCCCGTTCCGGTGTCCACATGGAAGGAGAAAATGGCAAGCTACTGCAGCTGCGGATCCATTCACCTCGCACATGGCAAGGGCGAAGATCCTCGAGAAAGCCGAAACGCTTTGAATAAGACCCTCACTAATTCCAAGTATTATACGGGCATACGAAAAAGAGATAGTGAGCGTAAAGATGGCAACAGACAATGGAATAGCAAAAGCGTGCGCAAAACACTTCATATCCAGGACATCAGATGCGGAATCGAATCGCGGGTCGGTTCCCGCTCAGCTCAAGCAAGTTTGTTACCTTGGACGGTGAAGAGGGTGAATTGTTAACGGATTCGTCCGAAAGGCTGAAACACTGAAGTGTGCGCACACCGGATAGCCTTTGCACGTTGTTGTGTACGACGTTTTGCATTTGAAAAACCACTTCCGCATGAGATTAGAATGCGTACCGCATTCTAATCCTTAAAAGAGCGACAAAAGGGATCAATGTTGACAGCTTTATGCACTTATCCTGGAGACGACTAAGCTATCCCGGAGACGACTAAGCTACCTTTTTCACTCGAGCGTGGCGACGGCTGCGCTTCTGGTGGGTATTTCCGATGAAACCATTAGGGCTGAGCCTTTGTCCAGCACAAGAAAGGAAGTGTCTAGTGGAGAGATCCCGTGGAAAACGCACACTACGCCATGTTTGATTGGGGTATACTCTAGTCAGGGAACAGCATCGTTGTGTGAAACTCATAGGAGGTCGTGCTGTTTGGCTGGGAGGGAGGGTCGTATTTGGTCGTTGTTGGGAGAGGGGGGTCGTATGTGGCCTTTGAGAGAAATTTGCCGCGTTGGGAAAAAATTTTCCCTGGTTGTTGACTTTTCGCGGTTTTTCCCGTTTCACATGTGTTGAGCTTTAGCGGGTTTTCCCGTTTCGCATGTGCTAATTACCCACCCCTCCCCCGGTCGACAGCAAAACTCAAAACTTGGAAAAAGTTAGGAATTTCTCCTAAGAAAAGGTGGTAGGAATTCGACGAAAATGTATAAAATTTTCCTCGTTTCACATTGCTGTATAGCCCCTCCCACCGTTCGACGGAAGATTTTGGGTGGAAACTGGAAATTGACGGGTAAGTGTTGGAGAAGGGGGAGGGTTGACCGAGACACTTTCTAGGTGGGTCGGGGTCGTACTGACACAATCGCTCGAGAAGGGGGGTCGTACAGACACCATCTTTCACACATCACGTGCAGTACCTGACTAGTTCGCTTCTCAAGATGAAGAGGAGTGTCAGGCAGTATGAGTGTGCCAAGCCCATTCTACGCCAGTTGTTGAAGCGAGTATGCGACAGCAAGTGGCAGGAGTGATACGAACGATAAGATACAGTCTTGTCACTTGCTCGCTCCAACAACTGGTGGAGAACGGGTTTGGCACCGCACCAACTCATCCCGCCTGACACGCTACCTTCGTCCATAGCGAACTGGACTATGTGCGTTAAGACACCCATCGTTCTAGTACGGAGCGTAGCAACGGTAAAATGAAACAAGCTGGAACGCGATTGAAAGTGCGGTTACCACTAATCAATGTGTTCTTATCAAGCACCTTCAAGCTGCGAAGATGGTGAATCCTCTGCGATGCTGACTGTGCCACGTCTATATAGGAACGTCAATAGAAATGGAGTTATATACTCTAGTTCGCTGCGGACGGTTGGGCGTGTCAGGCAGTATGAGTGTGTCACGCCGTCAAAGCCGTTCTCTGCCTTCTTGTTGAAGCGCGCATGCGACAAAAAGTGGTAGAAAACGAGTAATACGAACGATATGATACAGTCATATCACTTGCTCGCTTTAACAACTTTGGCACAGCGCCAAACTCATCCCGCCTGACACGCCCAACCATCCGTAGCGAACTACACCGTATGTGATGTAGAAAAACCTGAAGCTTCTGTTATTTGTAAAATGTGGATTTGTAAACACTATCCAGAGCTCCAAGTTGTCCCTTGTTGTAACCTCGGCATGATGTCGAATGTTTAGTTGCTTCTGCCAAACGAGGTTTCCAGATGGAACCTTTTATTGGCCCAACGTTTCGACCTTCTCGTCTTCTTCAGAGGCCTGAAAATGGCTCGAAGCTTTTAATTTGTTACCTACCCGACCAAGCGCCCTCCCC